CCCGGGGAGGACTCACTCAGGTGGCCGCACGTTAGACCCGGGGAGGACTCAGGGCACGGCGTTCAGGCTGGGATGACGGCACCCCAGAGGGCTGCAGTCAGGCACTGCCCACTCATCTGGGGCTGGGCTTCAGAGGCCATCCTTGTGGGTGCAGAAGGGCCCAGGGCTCACAGGCCAGGGTGAGGGCCACGGGCACCGTGTGCTCTGACCCCGGGGGTCCCTGTGCTGGCCCCGCCTGTCATCCCCACTGGACACAGCCTCTCTCCAGGACACCACGGCCAGGGAACAAGAGCCATGCTTATCAAAGGAGTTTTTCTTTATTTTTCATAATTTAGCTGAATCAACACAAAATTGAATACTGTAAAACAAGAAAAAAAAATATGCTGTAACATCTGAAATCTCCCGATCTCTGCCCTCGAAGTGTCTATACTTGCTTTTCAAAGAAACAGGCGAGGGGGAGGCCGTGAGGACACCGGCTGGTAGAGGCTGCGGGCGAGGCCGAGGAGCGGGGCGGCTCGGGAAGGGCGCCGTTCAGGCCCAGCCCCTCCGCGATGACAAACCCAAACTCAGCCCCTTCTTGTAGTCCAGGATACAAAGGCCTGCGAATTCGTGGTGACCGAGAGGCAAATGAAGTCCTCATGGATACCGGGACAGGTCTTAAATGCATGGTTTCCTTTCCTGTATAGTCTCTGGTTGCCGGAACAGCTTCTATATAGTTACTTTTTACCTTCTTTTTAGTAGGGTAGAGCTAGCATGATATTCGTGTTAACTGGACTGGTAGGTAGTATACTTCAGAACTCAGGAGGATGAGGGAGGCTGCGAGAGAATAAACAGAATTGTCCCTTCCTCCTCGGCCCCGCCGGCCCCGCCTGCGCCTCTGCCCAGCGCCGCTTTCTGGACCTACTGGCACGAAGACAGAGGACTTCTCAGAACGCAGGACACGGATGTGGGGACAAGGGCCGCCAACTGGCCTCAGGGTCTGTGAGTGGAGAAAGGGGCAGGAAATGGGAAACAAAACCCATTGGAAGAAGCAGGTTGAAAATATTGTACAGTCAGTGCCGACCAATACGGAGACCAAAGAGGGGGTCCGCAGCCACCGTGCCCGGCCCGCAGCGAAGGGAACCCGGCCTCCCCGGGCACGACCCATGCGTCCGGGACGCCACGGTCCTCCGCACGCTTCTCCCGGAGTCCCGCCTCCACGCCTGGCACCCCGGGGTCCGCGGGCAGCACCTCCCCACCGGGGCCCACCCGCAGAGCCTTCAGAAACACACGGGGCTTGGCCCGACCCTCCGGATGGCCGGGACTGCCACGTTAATTGTTAAATAGGATTTTCTACAAATATACAACATATAAAAACTGTTAAATATATAACTTTAGGCTTTGCAAAATACATTTAATGATCTCTTTCAAACAAGTGTTACTCGCGTGTTCTTTGCTTTGCTTTCTGGAGCTAAATGGAGTATGAATGAGGCAGCAGTCACGGGAGACCCAACATGCTCTTGGCAGATACTGGATTATCCAACTATCAAAAATGGAGCTGTAGAAGAGGCATGTTTAACTGGTTAAAACAGAAAGTGATTTTAGTACGGTCAAGTCGGTCTAAGTACAGAGGAGTAAAGTGGTCTGTGATCCCGGGGGCCTCGCGGCGTCTGCATGGGGCCATCGCCGGCCCCGCCCGGGCCGCCTCCGCGCAGCCAAAGGCCCTCCTCCGAGGGTGCGCCGGGGTGCTCCTGGGGTGGCCGCCGCCGCCACGGCTGCCCTCTCTGCTCCGCCGGGGCCACTAGCATGTCTCTGCCACCATGCCCTCCCGCCCCCACCGGCGACCCCAGGGACCCCAACAGCGAGGGTGCGTCCACGTTCAGATAGATTTTGCTCTTTGGTCTATGGAGTATACTGAAAGTATAAGAAAATAAAAGCAATTCGGACAGTCTGGGGCCCAGGAGGCGCCGATTCTGCGCCTGGCAGTCCCCTGGGGCGGGCGTCGCATCTCAGGCGGGCCGGGCTGCACCCTCCTGTGGCTGCAGGAGCCTCCTCCTCCTCCTCCTCCGAGGACGGCAGGGCCAACGCCACGGTCGGCGATGGCTGGGCGCAGCCGGGCTCCCACAGACGGTGTATTGCTGGTGCCCGGAGCCGCCCCAACCTGTGTCCGAGTCCGGCCTCTGAGTCGGCTGGACAGACCGGAGCTCAGGACGCCGAGGCCTGGGGCCGTCCTTCACGGACCACAGGGAAACAGAGTGGGCGGGCGGCAGAGAATGGGCCAAGTCCGAGGCGGCGGAGAACTGTGGCTCAGGCGTGGGCTCTCCAGGGAGCCAAGGCCACTCCCAGGGCCCCTCAGGGGCTGTGTTTGTCAGGAGACCTGGGGAGCAAAGAGAGAGCGTGGGTCAGCCTTCTGCAGACGCTGCCCTGGGCCACACGGGACGCAGGCTCCTCTTCCCTGCCCGGCTCCCGCCAGCCGGCCTGCTGGAGGGCCTGAAACTAAAAGCCCATCCTGTCTGCGGGACACATCCGGGCTGCCAGACGGCGCCCCCAAATCACCCGTCCTTCCTTGTGACTCAGGAGGGTGGGGTGCCCTCTGTGCGTGACCTGGAGGGGCTGTCAGCCCCAGGTGTAGCCCTTCCCACTCCTGCCTGCTGGCATCCTTCCTCTATGCAGCCATATCACTTTGCCACTCCCCCAGCTCAAGAACAATCTGTGGCTCCCTATTCCTTGTATCCTATTCAAACCTCTCCCAGCTTCCTGGGCCTCTGAGGCCATAGACTTCGGAGCTCACCCAGAACAGCCACTGCAGGCTGGGGGACCTGGCCGTACCCCCACCACGGAGCCACCCTCCCCCAGCTGTCCATGCTGGGCCTCTGCAGGTCTGTGTGCTTCTCCGGTGGCTGCCCAGGCAAATGACCACACACTGGGGACAGGATCTGAAACAGCAGTTATTCTTGCCCAGGCTCAAGGTGTGGATGGCACTGGTTCCAGCGGAGGATCCGAGGGAGGGTCCGCTCCAGGCCCCCTGGGGGTTTCCGGCGCTCCCGGCAATCCTCACTGGCCTCACCTGCGGGCACGTCGCCCGATCTCTGCCTCCATCCTCACACCGTGTCGCATCTGGCCGCTGGAGAGCTCTCAGGCTCAGCTTCCCCCGACACCCACCCCTTCCCTGAGCCCCAGGCAGCCCTGAGACTCTGCCCTTGAGCCGACCTTGGTCAGGAAACTCATCTCGGGACCCTGGCCCTGCTGAAAGTTCTAAGCCCATCCTGATGCTGCCTCCTGGGCGGGCACCTCCAGGCACCTGCTCACCTGGGTTAGGCCTCATCTGCCTTGTGTTAAATCCCTTTCTCAGCCCAGGGTGGGGATGACGGGGGTCTCGCAGCTGTGGGGCCTCCCCAGATCCCAGGTTCCCTCAGGGCCGGGGCCATCTCCAGGACCCTGGGCAGCTGCAGTTCCCAAGCTCCTGGGCGCCGGCCACTGCTCTGGGAACGACCTTGCAGTCACCTTGTCACAACCTCGTCCACTGAACAGGGCCGTGGGATTGGAACCCACACTCAGCAGGCCCTGAGGCTCAGGGTGAGGGCCAGCCCTGGGGGCAGAGAGGCCCCATACTCACACCTTTGAGACCGGGAGCCTCGGACGCCTCCCCTCCTGGCTTCCTGGAGCTGCTGCTGCGGCGATCAACAGCCAGGTCCAGCCAGCCTTCCCTGCCTGTGGATGCTGTGGCCTGGGTGGGGGCTGGTGTGCCTCCTCACTGCACCCCCGGGGCCAGGAAAGGGAGCGGGCTCTGAGCTCCCCTCTGCTGGGTGCATGGGTGCTGAGTCATCCACAGCCCTGGGCCGAGGTCCGCCTCCTCCAATCTGCGAGCTCTCTTCTGGAAGCCGGTCCCAGAGGCTCAGAACTGGCAAGAGCAAAGACCTGGAGCCAACCCAAATGCCCATCGACGACAGACTGGATAGGGAAAATGTGGCACATATACACCATGGAATATTATGCAGCCATCAAAAACGATGAGTTTGTGTCCTTTGTAGGGACATGGATGAACCTGGAAACCATCGTTCTCAGCAAACTGACACAGGAGCAGAAGATCAAACACCGCATGTTCTCACTCATAGGTGGGTGTTGAACAATGAGAACACATGGACACAGGGAGGGGAGCACTACACACTGGGGTCAGTTGGGGGGAAATGGGGGAGGGACGGTGGGGGTAGGGAACTGGGGAGAGATAGCAAGGGGAGAGATGCCAGTTGTGTAGGTGATGGGGAGGAAGGCAGCAAATCACACTGCCACGTGTGTACCTATGCAACAATCTTGCATGTTCTTCACACGTACCCCAAAACCTAAAATGCAATAAAATAAATAAATGGAAAAAAAAAAGAACTGGCCCCAGAGTGAGTTTGCCATCACACCAGACTGTGGGCGCCCGACACACTGACGTGAACGGGGTGGCCGGAGCTGCCCGCTTCACCTGCGGGCACCTGATGCTTGGCCCACACAAGCCTTTCCATCAGGAATGAGTGGAAGGCATGGTCCTAGCATGCGGAGCCTGTGTTCAGCTTACATAAGAGGTTTATCCTGTGCTCAGACACAGACAAGAAAACCAAACTGCCCAGCCCCATTCACACAAGTAAATGATACTTTCTCCTCCTCACTAGAAGTTTCCACGTGACGTTAAGGTCAGGAGGAGCCTGCTGTACTAAGGAAAACAGTTTTGTTTTTTTTTTAAGACAGATTCTTGCTCTGCCGCCCAGGCTGGAGTGCAGTGGCGCGATCTCAGCTCACTGCAATTGCTGCCTCCCGGGTTCAAGTGATCCCCCCGCCTCAGCCTCCTGAGTAGCTGAGACTACAGGCGCCCACACCACACCTGGCTGATTTTCATATTTTTAGTAGAGACAGGGTTTCACCGTGTTGGTCAGGCTGGACTCGAACTCCTGACCTCAGGTGATCTGCTCACCTCGGCCTCCCAAATTGCTGGGATTACAGGCATGAGCCACTGTGCTGGGCCTGAACACGCTGCTCTGAATTGAGCCTGTGAAAAAGGTTCCAGTAAACAGCAAAAGAAATCGGCAAGACAGTGTGATGATCGAAGTCCCACCTCATGGACGCCTGGGACGAGGGACACCGTACCGTGGGAAAAACCCAAGGCAAATCAGGGCAGCAGCTCTGGAAATATGTACCACGTCCCACCCATGCCCACAGAAGCTTTTGGCTTCTCTTCTGGGGCTGCTCCCTGAAGGTACAGAGCCAGGGCACAAGCAAAGCCCCAACTCTTCCTACGGCTCACCACCCTGCACCAGGCTTCTTCCCACAAGACTCCAAAAACATCTCCTTTTCAGGAGGTGAAGCTGTGCCTAGGGTGGCCTTCATCTGGGGTCACCAGAGAACCACAGTCTGTGCCCCCGGCTTTGGAGCTGGAGTCAGCCAAGCCCTATGGAGCGATGTTCAATGCACAGGGCCCGGAGCTCCCCTCAGTCTCCGTCAGGAACTAAGGGCTGTCATGGAGCGACCATGGGCCCCAGGACCAGCCCCTTCCCCGTAGCTGAAGACGTGCGTTCTGGGAACCAGCCCCCTCCCCCATGCCGCCGGGCTGCACAGCCGGGGTTGGGGTATAATTCCATCTCGGCAGAACATGGCAGGCGCAACTCAGAGCTTCCCCGACGGCAAACCCAGCCCTGTGAATAAAGCTACGCAGAAAAATTCACAAGTAAAATCCTCCAAACTCATCACGACTGGTGCGATCCCTCACGCAAGACAGTGTCCTGGGCCCCCAAGCAGCGCTCGGCAGCTGCCTGGCACGTGGAGGCAGGCGGGGGCGGCGGCTGAGGCTGGCGCTGAGGATCCTTTGTTCACCCATCAAGCATGTATTGATCTGCCCTAAACAAGGTGGGTGGGAGGGCCGAACGTGGGCAGGGTTCTTTCCCTCAGGATGGAGGGGCTCCCCCGACGCAGGGGGCTGGCAGATCGGACATCAGCTCCCCAAAGTCCGCTCCTGGCCGTGGTACGCCAGAACGAGGACACACCTGCCAGCCCTCCCCCTCCTCCATGAGCTCAGGAGCAGACGTGCTGTATCCGACTTCGAGCTTCGGTCTGCAATAACAGACATGAAGATCCTGACCCCTGCCTGTGAGTGGGTCTGACTCATCAGCAGGTTCTAGCAGATGCGATCGAGTTAGAGCGGGCTCATACCAGATTAGAGTGGGCACCACTCCCTCACCGAGAGGAGGAAATCTGGACTTACAGCAGACGGCCCCATGCAAACAGACACACGGGCTGGAGCCGTGCGGCCACAGCCACCGCAAGAGGCAGGAAGGACCCCGTGCTGGAGCCTCCCAGGGGAGCAGGCCCGTCAGACTCCGGGACGCAGAACCGTGAGAACGGGTTTCGGTTGTTCGAAGCCACCGCATACCTGCTATTTTGTTCCAGCGGCTCCGGGAGACTCACACAGCCTGGACACCGTGCCTGAGCCGCGTGAGTCCTGGGGACGCTGATGGAACCCAGGGGCCGCTGAGCTTGCGTCTCAGGGCTGGGCTGAGGGTGGGACCAGGCAGCAGCGCCCCAACATCTCCGCCCTGCCGGGCCCAGTGTGTGGGCTGCAGGGAGGCAGCGGAGGACCCGCCTCACACCCTCGGCCCTTGGGCTTCATGGCACCTCAGCTCCCAAATGGGGATTCGGCCCCAGGGAATCCCAGGAGAAATCCTGACTGTTCTGGGGCCCCTCCCCGCTGAGCATCCCAGGGCCGCCTCTCCTCTTCTAATCCACCATGCCACCTGGCCCACTGTGGTGCCCACTCCACTGCGCTGCCAGCTCCACCATGCCACCAGGCCCACCACGCCACCTGGTCTACCACATCAGCTGGTCCACCACACCACCTGGCCCACCACGCCACCTGGTCCCCTATGTCACCTGGTCCCCCACGCTGCCTGGTCTGCTGTCCCCGCCCCCCAATCTGGCTGGGATCTTTCTAGGTGGGGCCTTCCCCAGCCCCTCCGTGTCCCTGCGTTAACGTCGGCTCTGACTAAAACTGCCCCACGCTGCTGCCTGTGTCCTCCACTGTGAAGCAGGCTTCTCAACGCCAGGACCGTCCTCCTGTCGGGGGGAGCGGGGGTCAGTGCTTTTCCTGAACCTGGCAGGGGCCCCGTGCGCCTGTGCCTGGTGAAGGACTGAGGGAGGAACCGTAGGGAGCTGTGGCTAGAGCAAGGGAGCCAGTGGGCAGACGCCCCAGAGCTTGGCATGTGCCTTGACCTCCCACAGCCTCCCAGCTGGAGCCTCTGGGAGCCCCCATTTCCCCATCTGTAACACGGGATAGGAACAGTGTATACTCCCAGCCATGGGGTTCTTAATATCAGCAAAAAAGAAAAGCTGTTTAATTTCAAGAGC